GCCCTCATTGCCTTCGTCATCGTCATCTTCCTCCTGGGATACGTCCTCTACAAAAAGCCAGGTAGTATCCTGGTGCGAGTGATAACCCAGGAGGTGTCTGGCCCTATAACTAATCCATCTTCTCCACGTAGATGTCAACTGGGGCTCCTCCATGCAAGCCAGCTCATACAACATGGCCCTCAACTACTCGGTGGGGCTGAGTGAAGTGGATGAGCACATCAAGAACTACAGGCAAGGGGTCTCAGTGTATGGAGGGAGGGGGAAGCAGAGCCAGCCGCTGTCAGCAAACCCAGGGTGGCTTCATGCTCATGGCCACATCATAGAATCAGAGAATCACAGAATGGTTTGAGTTGGAAAGGACCTTAAAGCTCACCCAGTTCGAACCCCCTGCCACGGGCAGGGACACCTTCCACTAGACCAGGTTGCTACAAGCCCTGTCAAACGTGGCCTTGAACACTGCCAGGGATGGGGCAGCCACAGCTTCTCTGGGCAACCTGTGCTAGGGCCTCAACACCCTCACAGGGAAGTCCTTCCTTATATCTAACCTGAAAATCCTCACCACCATCCTCAATAACTGGGAGCCCCAGCAAAATGTGTCTCCAAAGTCCCACATCTTTGCCATATGGGCAGAGGTGGAAAACAGGGCAAACTTTGCCTTCCCTGTACCAGGCAGATGCTTTGCTTTCATCTGATATAAAAAGGCCTCAAAGAGTGAGGCTGGACCCTCAGCTGGATTTTGTCTCATCCTAAAGATGCTCCCTATAGCTGCTGCTGGCCAGGCATGGGAGAAAAGACATGGCTCTTTCTGGAGAGCCTCTGTAACTACAAAGTACCAGCCTTCACCCCCTATTTCCTCCCTGCCCACAGACCGCAGTGCCTGGTGCTCACTGGCCCTCCCAATTTCCGCCCAGCCCTAGTGGACTTTGTGGGGACCTTCACCAAGAACCTCAGCCTGATGCTCTGCGGCAACGTGCTCATTGTGAGTCACCTGAAAAAGCCAGTGGGTTCCTTGTCCTGGGAGCTCTGGCCATCCATGGGCAGTGGGCAGGGAAATCCAGATGTGTCCTGGTGGGATTGAACAGTGCTCATTATGTGCAACCTGATGATGAGATGTTTCGTCTGGAAGCCTCTTTCCAGCTTGTTAAGCAATACTGATGAAGCACTAGGGTGTCTCTGTGGTCTAACAGCTTCCCTTCACCAATTAATTGACAAAGCAAAGACATAGTAGAATGAGGCAGTTGCTCAGGGTGGTCCTGAAGCCTCAAGAGCAATTGAGGTGCAGCAAATGCCAATTCACCTGCAGCCATGGGACTGCTGGCACTGTGTGCGTTGGCCGCTGCTGCCCAAAATTTGCTGGTTCTCTTGCTGTGGTTGCAACCTCCCTTGTATGCAGTGGTTGCAACCTCCCTTGTATGCAGTGGTTACATCCAGGTCTTGCCAGTGATTTGGGAAGAGAAGATGTGGAGGTTGTTAGAGGCAAGCCCACCAGCGTGAAGGGCTGCCTGTGCCTGAGCCCCTGCCCCTGATCCCTGCAGGGACCACGGAAGCAGAAGATGCCAGAGTCCCGGCTGATGGCAGACGGCCACACCAAGTGGCTTATGAAGAGGAAGATCAAGGCTTTCTATACGGATGTGGTGGCTGAGAATCTGAGAAGTGGCGTCCAAATGCTCATCCAGGTAGAGCCTGGGAGCTCTGATCCCCCTCTCTGACCTCCAGGCACTCCCTTTGCATCCTCTCCTGCAGACTGACAGCACCTGTGTCCGTCTGTCCCTGCAGAGGGGTCTCATGAGAACATCTATCCATAGGCTGCTGGCCTTGGGAAGATGAGACCCAACATCCTGGTGCTGGGCTACAAGAGGAACTGGCGGACTGCATCCCCGCAGAGCCTGGAGGACTACGTGGGCATCCTGCAGTACGGCCACACCAGCTCCTCCGTCCCTGGGGACTCCAGGACCTGGTGGTGGCCCTGTGGTTGGGTGCAGGGATGCTGTGGCCACATGCTGGCAGTGCCACCCAACATGAGATGGCCCCTGTTAACCTCCTTCTCCTCCCTCCTTCCAGCGATGCCTTTGATTTCAAGTATGGTGTGTGCTTGATGAGGATGAAGGAAGGGCTGAATGTTTCCCAAGTGCTGCAGGCACATGGTAAGCGCTTTTGGGCAGCCGGGGATGCTCAGAGATCTGCTGGAGCTGTAGGACATGCCAGCAGGCATCATGTCCCCAGGTGAAGGTCACAGTCCTGGGGGACATCACTCTTGGCTGGGACTGAAGGGGCTGGGGACACAGGGTGCTGCTGCTTGCTGATGCTCATCTCCTCCCTCCCCAGTTAACCCCGCGCTCAAGGCAGCGGAGGAGAACAGCACCAGTGGCAGAACAGCCCTGAGCACAGGTTGGTCCTGGCTCGGGGCCACTCAGAGCATTCCTGGCTCCAATGATTATTTTTGGGAAGCCAGGTTTATAGTGAGGGCTGTGGGATGGGAGCAGGGAAGGACCTTCAATCCATGGCTGGCAGTGCTCCTTGCTGATGCCGGGACCCTCTTGCCCTGGCAGTGGATCCTACCACCTTGGCCAGTGAGCAGCAGGCGAGCACCATCTTCCAGAGTGAGCAGGGCAAGAAGACCATTGACATTTACTGGCTCTTCGATGATGGAGGTAACCTTCACCTTTGGCTGCTGCAGCTCTTGGACATCTCTCTGTCCACCTAATGTGATACCAGCACCCCCACTGCCCC